GCCATTAATTTTTTTCGATTTTTCTCCATGATTTATTGGAACTTGAACATGGTTCTGGATAGAGACCGGAGTCGTTGTAACGATCGGATTTGGAATACTACTTTCAGCAACCATAATATCTGATTACAAAAATCAAAAAAATCAAAACACAAATTAATTTTCTAGTTACTAAAATCAGAAAATAAATTATAATACAAAATAATTTTACTTTTCTTGTTATTAAAACTAGAAAAATAAAATACCACATTAATTTTCTGTAACATAAATTAATATTCTGCAATTGTTAATGACACAAGTATATTACTACTAGTTATCAAATAAAATAAACAGTATATTACTACTATTTGTCAAATAGTATATTACTACTATTTGTATTTTCCAATCAGAATATCACTTTGTGAAAACACATAAAAATAAATACAATGAAGACACCAAAAATTAATCTATCTTAAGATTGTATGACAATCTTCACTTTTTTAAAAAATAAATTATGTTTGTGTACTTAACAACAAACGGAATATAGAATAAATAAAGGATAAGATATAGTTTGTTTGATTACAAAAATCAAACTAGAAAATAAAATAAACTAAATAAAACAGATTTTTATTTTGTTACAAAAAACAAAATGAAAATTTGAAACAGAAAAAATAATAAAACAGAAAATAAATTAATTACTTACCAAATTAATATGTTGAACAATTTTTTTGATCAAGTCCAATGTTTGACACTGTGTCCTTAAGACAGATTCGTCATTTCCACAGTGCTTTCAGATTGTGGATGTTTATCTCCCAGGATAAAATGATCAACAGCAAACAATAGCAACACTATAAATTGTTTGCACAACGAACACACTTTGTGTTTATACTCTTTCTTACAAAAAAATAATGCAGCAAAATGTAGAGAGAAATTGTAGAATATTTTGAACGAAAATCGAAGTGAAAACATCAAATGAGGGGCTGCCTATTTATAGATGGAGTGATGGCTGTTTAATTTGAATTAATCTAGTACAGATCTGAATGAAAAGGTATGGTACCTGTTCAGTTTGAATAAACAGATACAAATCTGTTGGGTTCAGATTTTGAACAGCTAAAACCTATATTGAACATATTTGAATCTGTCCGGGTGGGGAAAATAAAATCGGAGTCAAATTTTGAAATTAATTTTTGAAATTCAAATTCCAAAAAATTAGAATTTAATTTTAGAAAATAAAATTCAAATGTTTTTTGCCCAAACAGATAGGTATTGGATCGAACAAACCCAACGCAACCACGCACTCGCGCCCAACCATCCGGACGGACGGCAATGCGTGTGTTTATCTTGGGTCCAATGGATCTAGCCCACTTTGTCCATAACCTCACTCTCTACAAAACTTAAGTGTCCTTTGGGGCTTACCCTAAGTTTCAATCCCAAGCCTTATAAACCCACTCAAAGTTTCTCACCAAATCAATGTGGGACAAACTTTTATTCAAACCTTTAGGAAAATTCACCAAAAATACTATTTCCACAGAGCTTTCTTTGGCTTTAATTTTCCATTCGCCAGATAATGGTTTTAAGCAACCAAATATTTAATGCGAATCACAACGAGGCATAGAACGCGTTATCATTTAGACCCGTCAAATTTGGTGCATGAATCTCATCTAAAAAATAGATCAAAATTGAGAAAAAAAAGCAACCAAATATTTAATGCGAATCACAACGAGACATAGAACGCGTTATCATTTAGACCCGTCAAATTTGGTGCATGAATCTCATCTAAAAAATAGATCAAAATTGAGAAAAAAAAAATCTAATTTTCAAAATCATTTCTAACAAAATAGTGTAACTTCAATAAAGGGTTAGTTTCTACACAAAATTTTCACACGTATGAGCAATTTATTACACATTGCGTGATTTGTTTGATAACTTTACAAATAGACTACAACCAAACCACCAAAGTGTTATTTATTATAATTATTATTTTTTATAAATTTAGCATAAAACTCAACAAGGAAAGTTTATTGAAGGCAACGATCCAACCAATAAAGCGTGACACTTTCATCTTTCCAATGTGATGTTTTACTAAAATAAGCTAACAAACACTAAGGTTGTGTTTGGTAGAGTTTTGTAAATATAATTTGAGAGTATGAATTATATTTTAAATTTGTGAGTTGTGAAATTATGATTTGAGTGTAGAAAATTTGTTTAGTTATGATTTTTTAATAGAGTGTTGAATTGAGTTTTAAATTGAGTGTGAAATTGAGTTTTGAAAGCTTGATTTGACATGTGAAGTAAGAAAATTTTTTTGATTGTGAGTTTTGAAAAGAGTTTTTAAAACTTAATTCAAATTATTATAACTCATAACAAAACACACTACTTTCATATTATTAAAAATTCTGATTAACACTCATAACTAAACTCTTTTTAAAATTCAATTAAATTTTTTTATTATTAACAGAAAATAACATTAATCAATTTTTTAATTGAAAATACTACAAAAGAAATAATTTTTTTTCAAAATAAATATTCAAAAAATTTAAATCATAAATATTTAAATAATTTAAATATTCTAAAAAATTTAATAAGTAAAAAATTAAAATAAATATTCAAAAAATTTAAATTGTAAAAATTTAAATAATTTAATTATTCTAAAAATTTAAATAATTTAAAATGTTAATATTTTAAATTTAAAACAACTCTACACTCAAATGGTAACCAAACACATAAAATAAAACTCAATTAAGAAATTATTTTTAAAACTCATAACCAAACACATAACTCAAAGGGAAAATCGGTCTAGGGTCCCTCTCCTACTTTTCGTAATGGAAGAGATCCACAAAATTATTTTTTGATGTCTAAGGTCCCTAAACATATATCAGAGAAATTTCAGTCCTTTATACTATCTTCATCATCTGATCCACCGCCACCCCAACAACCCGACTCTGAGTCCTCTTTATCTTCCAACACTTCCCAAAGCTTTACCTAGTGGAGATTCCCACTCCCAAACTCACGCATTTCACACCACTCTCACCCACCACCACCATCGCCACAGGAATCTGACCCATCACCACCCCAAACTCACCGCCATTCTTACCCACAACCACCGCCTCCAGAACTCTTTCGTCTCGCCGAGCTCCAACTCACTTCAGACTCCGATTCTGACCGACTCAATGCCCTCCACATGCTTTTTCTCTCGTAGAAGCCATTAACCTACGAACCGTGGTCTCGAATCGAAAAATTGCAGTACAAAGTGAAATGGCTTTTAAGAGGCAGCACTTTTGGACTCCTGAATGTCCAACTCATGCTCTGCTACCATGATACATGAATCTGCTTCCAAAGGTGAGGCCACGCTCTTACTTTTTTTGTAGTGAGTTGAGCATTTCGGTTATGCACTGTACATCAGGTGTTATGCCAACCTGATCTATGTCATGAAGTGCTGGTAATAAATACTTCGCAACAGTGACAAATATAGTTGATCCATCATGTAGCTCTGTAATACTCTGTGGCACAAAAAAAAAAAAAAAACCCAGAGAAAATTGAATGAACACCCACAAAAAATTTCAATTTAGAGAAACTTGAACACCTAGAGAAAATCTCAATCCAGAGAAAATTGAATTTCTCTGGATTTTTGTGATTTTCTTTGGGAATTGATCAGTGAATTTCTTTGAGTTTTTGTGATTTTCTCTTGGAATTTATCAGTGAATTTCTCAGAGTTTTTGTGATTTTCTCTAGGGTTTGGAATTTAGAATCTTGTGTTTGAATTTCTCTGGTTTCAATCAAGAGAATTTATCTGGTTTGTCTGGTTTGGAGAGAATGACTCTGGTTTTGAACCAGAGAAATTTGTGGGTTTGTAGGTTTGTTAGACATGGGTTTAATTGTAGTTAATAGAGTTAGAGAAATTTGCGAAGTCAGAGAAATTTTATGGTCCTGAGCTCTGCTCTTCTTTGACAATGGCTCCGGTGAGGAACAGACCAACACCGAAGCTGATGCTGATGATGCCATGGCCCATGAGTCGTTCAGGCTGTCGGAGCTGAAACAAACATCTGTGACACAATTTGGGCTGCTGGACATTGATTGGAACTTTTGTTTGTTGGATCGGTGAATCCCTGATGTTGATTCTAGCATTAGCTTATGGAAATCCTCCACTTTGTCTTGTTTTCAACATACGGGTATATACATAAACAATTAAGATTCAAGAACACAATGATGGAAATAATTGGAATAGATCAATGCATTGACAAGAAGGTACAAACCTTGTAGATTTGAAGAATACCTAAGAGCTAGTTTTGGTATTCTATTGCGAGACAGGGCTTTAGATTACTGAAATTTCTCTGAATCCTGTTAAGGGACCTTAGACATCATAGAAATATTTGATGTCTTTTATACTATGAGGTCTTAATATCAGGGACCTTAAAAAAAATTTCCCTAACTCGAAACTCCATACTACTTTCATGACTCTATACTCAAATTGTAACCAAATACATAACAAAAAAAATTAAAATATTTAAAAATATTTTTATAAAATAGAGTTTGAATTTATTTTTATAAAATATTTTAAAAATTAAAAAAATCGTAACATATTTAAATATTAAAATATTTAAAATCTTAACAAAATTAAAATATTGATTTGAATTGAGTTTTGAAAAGAGTTTTGAATTATGTGTTTGATTATAAGTTTTGAAAAGTAATGATTATATTTTGAATTAAGTTTTGAGAAATGAGTGTAGAATTATGATTTGAAAGCTCAAAACAAACAACACACTCAAATCAGTGAGTGAAACTATAATTCAAAACTCTTACCAAACAGAGCCTAACATGTGCTATTCAAATAAGCATACAAAACAGTGGACAAACATATTCAAAAGGTCTCATTTGGCTGAAAGTAAAAAAAAAAAAAAAGAAGTTTTTTGGACCAATCACAAGAGACCCCAGCATCCTCACTGGGGTCTCATGCATTTTCCGATACGGCAGTGGTGGGGACCTGCAACACCCTCACCTCCACGTGGGAGGCTGCCAAACCGAGACTAAGCGAATGCTCGTGGGACAATATCTCTATGCATCATCACACAATGGACACGGTCCTCATCCAAGCCCAACTCGTTAAGAAACTTTTGGCCTCCACAGAACACGAACGGTGATCCAAAGGTAACAACTGGTCGCAGAACATTGGGCTTGACAACCTTCCTCGACAAGAGCATCAAGTTGACTAAGAGTGAAAGGCTACCGCCAAGAGAATGACCTGTGAATTGAAGCTTTGCCCGTTCCCCATGGTTAGTCAAATGCTCCATAATTTCCGGCATGAATTGCTCGTACATTCCCTTTGCAGCTTCATAAATTCCTCTATGAACAAGCGCTTCCGTCCCCTACAAGAAATACTAAATTGTTTATGAATGATTCTCTGGCTTCTCTCCTCTGCAGTGTTTCTGTCATCACCATGCTATTAAGAACTCAAGTGAAGTGCTAAGAGTTTCGCAATTGTGCTTACCTCGAATTTAGTGGGTTCAAAGAAGAGATTTGCCTGCCACGATGCTAGAGAGTCCGATCCCTGTAATTTGTGGATAAATAAAACGTCAAAAGTTGTGACGAGAAGGGAAAAAGTGTCGGATGAGGAAAGAATTGAAAACTTTTTGAAATTTAGATTTAGATTTAGACTTATTTGGAAATTTTATCAAATTAGAATTTAAATATTATGTTTAGTAACCGTCATTAGGTTTTCTTTAGAAATAGGCAATTATGTAATAGGTTTATACGGACTATGATATTTAATTGAGTTTTTGATATCAAGATCAAAGATTTTCGGGTTTTTATTTTTCTTTTATTTTACATTGACATTGAATATGAATGCAGCGATTACCTGGATGATGAAGTTGCGAGTATATGTGCTCGGATCATCACAAACAAACCATTCACAAGGCGATGAATGAAGCGATTGAAGGTCCCTTGCCGCCTCCTGTTTTTCTGTCTCACCTGCAGCGACCACTGCTGTCATAGTTGAAGCTGCCAAAGAAGCAGCCATCTCTGATTTGTATACTCGAGGTGACGAACTCTCTTCCTCTTGTCCGTGATCTTCATCACCATCTGATGCCACATCATTGCCTTCCTGTTCGGTTTCCGAGCCAAGGGATGAAAGGTCCTTGGTGTACGAGTGGACATATGATGCAGCTGAAGCAGCAATCTCATACGCAACAGTGGGGCGGTTTACACGTTTCTCGTCAGATATTCCTGCTTTCTCTGGAGCAGATACAGTGGGAGCTGAGGCAGTCACAGGTACGCCATTGGTTTCCCTATCTGGTTTTGCTTTTAGTGCTTCTGCTTCTGCTTTCTTCTTTAAGGAAGATGTTACGAGGCGTAGACCATAGTATCGTCTTAAATCCTTAGCCTGCATGTTAATGGGATCAAACTACTTTATTTTTCTGAAAAACTGAAGCCAATTTACTAGGAAACGATATTTTCACCAAATATTATCATCTCCATCTGATATTTTATGAATTTATATAAAACATTTGCGGAGAAGGACATGAAAAATGAAAATATATGGAGCATAGTATTCATTAGATGATACCCATACTTGCAGGCTGAGGTTGCACGCCTCGGTTTGGTTGAGTTTTCAGAATTTATTTTCTAAGAAAATCTCAAAAAACTAGTTTGGTGCTTTAAAAAAAATATAAATTAAAACACATTATTTTCATATGGACTTCTCTTTTTTGGGACACAAATAATGTTTTGATGTTTATTTTTCTCAAACTAGTTTCAATTTTTCAAAAAACAAGTTGTGAAAACTTAACCAACCAGAGGTCCTAAAATACCACTGTGGCACATGCACGTAGATCTCCCGACTAATGAGACCTTGCAAAAGAGGAATAAATAGAGTCGATCTTGTCTGTTAGTCAATTGACCTATGTTGGTTAGGTTAGCTCTACCTATTCTGTGACTAAAGCTTTATTGGTCCGAGATCATCATACTAACATGTTGAGTTGGTGCTCTCGACTAGGGCACTTAAGGTTAAGTATTTGATGCACAGTAATGGCAAAAATGTAGTAATAGTAAGCTGACCAAGGTTGGTCAGTTTTTTTTTTGTTTTTGAACAAAAGGTTGGCTTTATCTATTTCGTTAGTAGTGCTCTTATTGGTCTGAGAGCATGATACTGGCATGTTAAGTTGGAGTTCCGAACTAGGGGGGCTTGAGGTTAAGTATTTGAACCATGTTAGGTGTCACTAGTTAAACAAGATTACAAGGAAAATTGATTCAACCATTGGCAATAATATTTTAGGGTTTAAGCAAAACGTACCTTAATCTCTGGTATCACATAAGCCATGTTGCACAGGAAGGCTAGCTGAGCTAAAAGCTTAGCATCAGACCACAGAACTTCAACCAACAACCTTGAGAATGACTCGCAATCAATTTTTGGCTTCCCCTCTTCTTCTTCATCGCCATAGTCCGCTTCACAACCACCCTCATCTTCATCGCAATCTTGGTGGCTATCTGCATCGCCAGCCACTTCATCTTTTTGTTGCCTCTCTCTCCAATGGCTTTGATGCTGCAGTAGCCTCTCGACCCAATTTGCTCTCTTTTTCACCTCCTCCTCGTCTTCGTCGCTCTCTGTTGTGGTCTCCGTTATGTTCATCTCCTCCTTACTCGTCTCTGTTATATTCATCTCCTTACTCGAATCTGTTATGTTCATCTCCTTACTCGTATCCGGATCAAATAGAAATGACCGAAGCGAGCTTGGGAAAATTGAACTGGACAACTTGAAATTGAATATGCCCATAGAATGGCTATTCTTTAGTTCTGGTTGCTGCGTTGTTGAGGCCCGAATTTGGTTGTAGTAAAGATGGTTGTCGGAATATGATCGTGTCATGATTTTGCATCGGTTACAGGCGATGCATGTGGAAGTAACCGTCGAGAACGTGAAAGTTTATATTTACTGTGTTGGACTTTTGTGTAGTTCATAAATTTTGTTTGATCATATGTATATGTGGATGTATATATATTCATATGTGCCCCAGGCGATGCATGTGGAAGTAACCGTCAAGAAGGTAGAAATTTTAGAAATTACCTTTACTTGGATAATTGTTGACAATTGTGGAGGATAATTTTGAAAAGAACACCAATTGGGGTGTTTAGATATTGTAATAGTATAGATATTCTTCACAATGTCCCAATTTTTCCGTCTCATTTGTGATTCCTCTCTGTGTGTGTGTGCGTGTGTTTTTTTTTTTTTTTTGTTTTATTGCAGGCATGGAGTTTGTAGTGTCTTTGTGTGTGTGCGTGTTTTTTTTTTTTTTTTTTTTTTTGTATTATTTTTAGATTTTCTGTGTTGAACTTTTGATCATATATGTGGATGTATATATATATATATATATTCGTACACTGCAGCTTGATACAGGCAGTGTATGCACAAGTAACAGTCAAGAACATGAAAGTCTTAGAAACTACCTCTACTTTGATAATTGTAAGCAATTGTGGAAGATGAATTTGAAAAGATCAGGATGTTCACATTCATAATTATAATAATTTAGGTATGATTCTTCAAATTTTCTCAAAATTGTCTGTCTCATTTGTGACACTGATTCCTGTTTTTCAATCATTACTAGTGGTGGGTGCAAACCCAATCCGTTCTCAACTATATATACATAACCCCCTCCGTCCCATAATATTAGTCCCTTATTCCATTTTTCATTGTCCCAAAATATTAGTCCCTCTTCAAAAATCAAGTACAAAAATAATATAAAATTCTTATTTTGCCCTTCTTTTAAATTCATAAATAATATAAAAAGTACAATTATGACATTGATATTCCCAAAAAAATGTACTATCAAAGGGTAATTTTGGAAAATCAACTTTTTTAAAGTACTACCAAAAAAAGTTGGATTCCCCAAAAGGGACCATTATTTTGGGACAGAGGGAGTATATATTTTTGATGATTTGATGAATGGAGAAGATAAGTTAAATTTGATAACTCTTGGTAGTTATTTTATGAAACAGTTAACAAATAGTGCCAATTTTGAAAAAATAAAAACCGGTACAAAGCTTCAAAACCTTGTGAGTTGGTTGCTTTATATAATAATATAGATAGTATATACACATATTTTTTTTGCTTTACTGTATTGAACTTTTGTTTATAGTTCATAACTTTTATTTGACCATACATGCGGGTGTACCATGTACACATGCTTATACACACAATGCACGTGCAAGTAACTGTCAAGAATGTGAAAGTTTTAGAAATCACCTGTATATATGATTTTTAGTTTTCCATATAAAGAGAGAACTCTTTAACAAATTATCAGTTCTAGCTAGTTATCAAACATCACCAGCTAACTTCCGGTTTCTATATGTGTGCTTGTGTCCAATTTTGTTTACTTATTTTTATGATGGGTAAATATAACCGCACCTTTTGATTGGTTCTAGTACTTTGGTTCTTTTATTAAAAGCTTATCCTTAATTTAATAAATTACCCAACCTATACTTCATGCTATTGCTCTCTTTCATCACACATCGCTGACTTTGACACTAGAGGACAACAATTTGCTTTTCCAACCTGTGTCAAACAACTCTGTCAATGAGAGCTCTTGGGAGTCATCAGCCTATTATCCCCGGCCTACCTTTGATCTGTTGAGCGATAACCCGTCCACACAGGACTCCCGGATCACTATGGCCGACTTTTGTCTTTGTTCAACTAGTCGGGTCTCACATTTAGGTAGGCTTATACCATTATGCTCAAAGGTAGAATCTTAGCTTCAGCCTACCTTCGCACACCTCAGTTACTCTTTAGGGGATAATTTTGAAAAGGAAAAGCGGTAAGTACCACGTTCACACTAACTGGGTGTTTACACATTATAATAGTTGACATTGTTCAAAATTTCCCATTCGTGATTCTTGTTTCTTTAATTATTTTATTGTTATTATTTTAGCTTTATTGTCTTGGACTTTTGTGTAGTGCATGATAATTTTTATTTGATCATATACATGGGTGTACATAGATTCATGCTAGCCTAGCCGCATACGCAATACATGTGTAAGTAATCATCAAGAACATGAAGAACATGAGAGTTTTAGAAACTCTCTCTACTTTGATAATTGTAAGCGATTGTGGAGGATAATTTTGAAAAGAAAAAAGCGTTACACAAGTCATTCAAACCAACCGGGGACAATTTTTTTTAAAATTATTTTTATTTTTTCACTTTCCTTATTGATGTGGCTGTTTGGTATGAAAACAAGCAAGATTGGCGTTACGAATTTTTAGATTTCTATACCGAAGCTAGGGAATGCCATACACCAAGTCTCATGGTTAGTCTTTTAAAGCAGTTTTGCAATTGGTTGCAATAAGGACAATTGAAAGAATTTTGGTAGCTGGACCAAATTGCCTCTTTGCTGATTAGATTGTATATGGATGTGGCATAGTTTCTTATCATCCTTAATGGATGTTTTGGGCTGCATTTTTATGTTTTAATGTCAATGTTTGGCGGACAATACCTCTTAAAAATAGCAAGGTCGAGTATGCAATTTACTAGGTCATCTGATTCATCATCCCTAGAAAGGGTTAGGCTCTTGTTTAACGCAATTATTGCATAATATACTTTGGTGTCCAGCCCGGACTCATCCTGTTACCTTAATATGGTCCAACCATTTAATTTCAGCTTAAGCTGTTGAGTGTTATGTGAACTTATGATGCAATGTAGATAATTATATAAGATGCAGGAAATTGTTAGGAAAGTTCAGAAAATGTTGAGCACTTTTTTTTTGTGTGTGGATATTTGTCATCTAGAATGAATTTATATGTAGCGAAATACACATGAAGATGGCTTCCTAAAAATTCTTCCTCATATTCCTCACTTCGCTTATGAAATTTAATAAAATAAAAAAAGTAAAAGCAAAACCTTCGTAAAGTTTATGAAATATTCAATTTTAACCCCTTAACCCTCAACTCCGTTGCATAGGATATTTTTGAAAAATTGATATGTTTTATTAAATAGAAATATTTTATAATTTGGTTATTGGCTCTGAACCTTCAAGAAATTGTAGCCTCCCCAGAAAGGTTTGAAATTGGTTGCCTGCTTGTTCTCTTCACTCAACACACAAATTTATGTTTAGGAGCAGAACTTGGAAGTGTCATGTTATAGGTATACTCATTCTACCAAATTTCTCATTTTTGTCTGGAATTTTTTTTTTAACCTGGCTAAATGTATGAAATGAGACATTTCAATAAAGTTTAGATTTGTTAGACTTTTGGTTTATTTTCTCTCGTGGGTATTATAATGGATTATCCTATGGAGAAAATGCAACTTGTAATATTGCATGGTTACAAACGCCAATACAAAAGAAGGAATGCTAGGATCATATAAATGTTATTGATAAATGAGGGAAAATTTGTCACTTCATTCTCATTATGTGAATATTGTGTTAATGCTTACAAATTTTCGAAGTGCATGTCGAATATCTAATTCTAGTGTCTGTCTGGATTAATTGGAGGTGAATTGAGATGATTCCATGTTTACTTTGATCCAAGTAGGAAGTATCTGTCTGGCTTATATCACTTGAAAAAAGTAGGGATTGAAGTAGGGAAACCGAGTAACAACTTAGACAGATTTATCTAGTATGTTGATTATGGAATTAAATGCTGAAATCTGGGATATTTTGTTGAGAATCACCTTTACTGTAATGTCCTGAATTGGTATTGCAGCGAACAACTTACTTAAAATGCCTTGCCTACATGATATTTGCTGTGACTATTACGGAGATTTTTATCTTTGCAGACCCAGGCTTGATTTTGTCTGCACTAATATCAGTTGCCATACACTTCTAGGAATGGAGTATATGATTTCAAAATTGCATCCACAGGATTCTTTCCCTTCTGGTCTCAATTGTTTTGTAGAGTTTAGAGAATTGTGTGTTTGTATAAAGATACAGTGGTATAGCTTGTTAATGTATACTATACACCCTCAATTTCAGTTCTTTTTCTAAATATATTTTACTTATCTAAAACAAGAAATGACGATGTGATGTTATGCAATTATATTGTATAAGTTCTATGTTCAGTCCTAGAAGGTTGTATGTGGGTGGGCAGATTTAAATTCAAAGGGATTTTGGATTCCAATTTGCAATTATATAGGACGATTTATTTTGGAGACCTAAGGAGGTGGATAAAATAAAATTCATTAGAGTGGTGATATACAAACAGAAAATATATATTATACATAATGAGTGAGCTGGGTTTTGAGCCTATCACTTTAGAACAAAGAGCCCATTGACGTGCCTTTAATTACACAAATGGCACTGTTACATCATTCTGGTGCAAAATCCGGAATAAATGTTCTGGTGTGTTAAGTTATGTACTTGAGGGTATTAGTGTCATTGTACTTATTCTCTTATTATTATAAATACAAGTGCTTAGTGAGGTAAAAAACCTAATTAGGTTTAGTGCCTCTTCCAGCAAATCTCTCTCTCTCTCAACTATTATGCTACAGTTTTAACTTGGTATCAGAGCAGGTTCTTATTCTTTGTTCTTCTATTTTTTTTCTTTATTTTTTATTCTTTTATTCTTTCTGTTCCTGTCGCATAATGTAAAAAAAATAAAAAAATAAAAAATCCCTACCATGATCGA